TCTCCTTGCGTTCTATTTTCCTCTGTCTTGCTCATGTCTCTTTCTCCTCTGGCTGTCTTCTTTGTCTTGCAGACAGTCCTCCTTCCACCTGCCTTCTTTAATGTGGGCGTTCCCCAGGGATGCATCTGCAATCAATCCTCTGTGTTATTTTTTTCATTACACTCCCTGCTTGTCCACATGTGTCCTAAGACTAAAACCACCACTTTTGTATTCACAAATTCCAAATGTCTCTCTCCATTTCTAATCTCTCTGCTCATCTGTAGAGTCACATCTCCTTCTACCTATAGGACAGCCGCAAACTGTCTGAACATTGAGGCTTAAAATGCAACCCATCCAAAATATGGCCTCATGTTGTACCCCCAATAGGCCAACATCAGTCCCACCCTGTTTCTGCATTTGAGATCCCCACCCACTCATTTCCCCAAACAAGAAGTCGCATGGTCTCAAGTGTGTTTTCTCTCTTTTCATGCCCTTATCCTCCAACACACACACACACACACACACACACACACACACACGCTTCTCATTCCCTCTCTCTCTCCTAATTAATCCCACCCATTACTCTTCAAATGCTCCCACATATTTCCCTTTTCTTGTCCTGCTCTGACCCCAATTCAAGTAGCCATCATCCATTTCCTGAACTAATACAATCTCCCCTTACTTGTTTCCCTATCTTTGTTCATTCCATTGCTCAATAAATATTCATTTGTAAGCCAACTCTGTTGGCTCTAGCCTCTCTCTGTCCTCACCAATAGAACTCCCTACTGTTTCCATTTATATTTCTCAAGTTCAAATCCAACTCTGTTACTCTGCTTGCTTAAAAATCTCAGAACAACAGGATAAAGTCCAAACCAGTTAGCATGGCCCTCCATGACTGGGTGTGCACTTCCTAATCATACCCAGATCTGGGCATCACAGCCTTCCTCTTCTCCCCCCCACTCCCTGTTCCCACCTCCTCTCAGCATTCCCTGGCACATCAGGTGCTCCTCTGCCCCCCTGCTCAATTGAATAGCTTGTTTTCTTGTTTTCTCCCAAGGGAGTTGTCTGAGTCATTACTGGTCTGGTCAAAGGAGCAGATCCTCTCTTTACAATGAAATTCTCACTCCATTGCCTTCAGCTAGAAAGAGCAGAAATGGTCCCTTATCATTCCAGAGCATATACCACAGTTAACCCTGCTCTTGATCACCATGTAAAGATCCTCATGACAACCCTTAACCTTGAGCTATCAATGGGTTCATCCAACCCTTGCAGAGAGACAGACTCTAAGACTCCCTTGAATGGAACTATCTCTGAAGGAGCTTGAGAATCTCCCCTAGAGGGCTGGGTGCCCACACGCTGACTTGCTCATCTGCCATTTACTCAAGAAGCACAGTGAACTCCTATGATGATCTGGGCACTGGGTAGGGCTGGGGAGAGTGGGCTGGGAGATATTCAGACAGCCCCTGCCCTCCTGGGTTTCAACTTAATTTGCTCCGTGCTATTTTTCTACCAGCTTAGGTGTAGTAAGCAGTCACACCAGGAAGTGTCCCTAGCCATCCCCCCTCCTGACTCAGATCGCTTCATTCACTTATTCATTCAGCAAGTATACATTGAGCATCTACTAGGTGCCAGGGGGTTTCTGATATCGCAATGCACAAGATAGACAAAATTTCAGGTCCTCTTGGGCACCTATTTCATGGGTGGGGAATAGGAAAACAAATGAGCAAAGCCACATAAAGTCGGAAGGTGCTTATAAAGTAAGGAACAAGAGAGATCGTGTTTTAAATAAGGTCCTTGGCTTCCTGGAAAAGAGAACTGACATTTGAAGAAAAACATGAGAGAGGTAAGGGAACCATCACCACCATCTCATTTGTGCAGTTTTTGCTGCAAATATCTTAGAGCTATGATTCCAGGAGCAAAAACGGTGTGTTCTCTCTCCTCACAGATGAAGAGGCATAATGAAAGGAGAAGATAAGCCTGCAGCAACAGAAATTATTCCATGTTGAACTCTCCCTGCTAGACACCCGAAAACCAGCTCGGGGGCTCCCTTGGCCCCTCTCGGTGGCTGTCAGGCTAATTCCGCCACCCGCTCCCACCCTGCCCCGCCCTACGGGGCATTTGCGCGGGTGAGAAAAGTTCAGGGCCGGCTGAAGCCAGCGCTGGGAGGCGCTTTGAACAGGACAGCAGCGGGGCCGCGCGGGAGAACCAGGGCAGCCGTCCCCGGAAACCAGGCGGCGAGCAGAGGCCCCGGGGCTGGGCCGCGAGGTCATGGAGGCCAGGCTGGCGGGGCGCGAGCGACCCTGCCCCCCGGCCCGCGGCACCTGCCGGAGCCGCCCCCCTGGCCTTCTCGGAGGGCAGGGAGCTTTCTCCCCTGACATGGCCGAGCTTGTGGGTGCGCCTGGCGGCCTGGGACCGCCGAGCAGGGAGCCCCCTTTCCGGCCGCAGCCCGCCAGGCTTCGAAATGCCGGATTAAGCGCGCGTTCGTTCCAGGCCGCCCGAAAACACTGTCACGGATGCTATTTTGCTTGGGCCCGGGCTCTCCCGCGCCGAGTTGCACAACAAACCGTTTAAACATTTCAGCACAAAACCCGTTCCATTGTGGGGTCGCACATTAAAAAGTGTTATTCGCTTTGAAGTTTTTGTCTAATGGCTCTAAACTGAAAGAAAATGTTTTCCTATTACTTAATTCAATCATAGCGAAGAGACTTGGTAAAAAGCCCACGGATTTTGCCCCAAAGTGTGACAGAGTTCTCTTTGTGTTTGCTTATCCTACGCTGTCACACACTTTAATTCGCCTCTCTTTATCTGGCATTCAAAACTTTCTTCAATGACATTCAATAAGGTCCAAAGGCTGGAGGGAGAGAAGGAAAAAAACTGGTTATTCCTCCCCCTCGCCCCCACCCCATATTCTTTCCCAGTAGCTTTGGCCTTGCTAGCATTCAGGGGCTCTTAACCCCTTCCTCCCAGGGCGCGCGGGGCGGCTCCGGGCAGGGCTAGGTGCTGGCCCCTCGCGGGCTCCGGCTCCGGGGCGCAGCGCCCGCCCCTTCCAGCCCGCGGGCCCCACCGCACCCGCGCCTTCCTACCCCGCCTCTGCCCAGCGGGGAGCCCTTCTCTGGGCTCCGGTCCCGCTTTCCGCTCGTTGTCAGCGTCCCAGCCCAGCCCAAATTTCCCAGAGAGCAATTAGAACGGGAATTAGTCTGCACTGATGCGTCCCGGCTGCTTTACAGCCACCACCCTAGACCGAGAGCCTTAGAGCCCAGACTTGTGGAGTAGGGGGCAACCGTGCCCTCCACCCCATGCCAGGCAATCAAGGGAAACATCGAACCCTTACTCCTGCTAGATGGCATGTCCTCCATTGCAAGCATGTTTTATTTTCTTTCAAAACAGATTATCATTGCTTTTTAATCAGTTGTAATTTGTTGCTGTTGTTATTGCAAAGGTGCGATCAGTGATGACAGCTCCTGCAAGCACATCGGGTTTTCGTAGCCTTATTCCTGGGCATTGCTTCCCCTACCCACAAGCTTCCCTCTCCAGATCTCACAATTCCATTCAGGGCTTGGATCCGGTGACTGTAGCGATTTGGTTCCAATAAAATCGAAAGTAAACGTCTCCAGTGAAAAGTCCTGGGCTGTAAATGTTTATGCTAATTTCCCATTGTATGGAAAAAGCTCCTGAGCTGAAACAGCTTTAAGGCGAGGACGATTTTAAAAGCCGAGGCTGTGTACACAACGCCTGGCGTTTGAAGTTGTTTAACCATTGTGTGACCAGAAAGAAGAGAGTGACGCGACAGAAGGAAAAAGTCTGGTCCCGGATAGAGTCGGAGCGGGGTCAGGGTTGGCAAAAGCAACTAAGCTGGGAATATAACTGCCCTTTGCGCTGCCCAGAACAGCCTGAAGGCGATTTTTCCGAGCGCACTACGGGAGTGTATCCGAGTGGAGAGAGCGCCTGTAAGATCCGCAGGACAGAAACACCTACACTCGCCACGTTTAAATATGGTGCAAGATCTCGCTCGAGCTGCATCGTCTGGGCTTTCATTCCCTGTCTGTGACTCCGAGCGACTGTTTTCTCTATTTCACACGCACAACCCTGTCATTTGAAGGAAAGGGTTGGTTGGCCAGCATTTACGGAACAAAGACTGGGTGTTGCAGACAGCACCAAAGTTAAGACTGCTTGAGAAACTTAGAGAAAACAGCAACTGCGATGGGGCTAATGTTGGATGAGGAACAGTGACGACTTCTCCTCCCTCCCCACCGATGCCTTCCTCACGCGGGAACCCGGGGCCCTGCCGGCTTCTAACATAGGGAAAGACCGGATTCCACAGGTGGAAATCGGAGGCCAGCTGCAGGGGCGCTCTCAGGGTGCACAGAGATGAGCTAACAGAATTGAGTGGAGACAACATGCTTTGGGGGGATAGGGGGGAAATAATAGGAAGAAGGGGACCGGGACCAAGTGGGCAAAGGAGATGGGGGTGTTCGCCCATGGGGATCTGTAGAGGCGCGGCAGCTGGGGGTGCAAAATCAATAAGATAAGCGGACCGATCGCCATGGCAAAACCAAAGGGGAGTAAGGAATAAAGAGAAAGAAAAGAATATTAAATCGCGGGAGAATGAGAAAATAAACCCGCAAAAGGGAGAGGAGGGGGCGAGGGCGCCTGTTACGGCGTGGGTGGGGTTGACAAGAATAGAGTACATTATGCAGTTCATTTAGTTAACAAGTGAAATAATGAGGAAGCGTGCAGAGTGAATGCCAAGAGAAAAGGCACAAAAACCCTATTGAGAGGCCCCGGCCGCTCCTGGCGTAGCCCATCACATGGCAATAGTCCTATTTAAGCGGCGCCGCCGGCGCCTTTCAGCACCACTAGCGCTGGCCAGCACCCCGCGCTCTTTGGGCGGCGCCCGCAGCAGCATCCGCGGTGATTTCAGCCTCTGCCCAGCCGCGCCTCCAGTTTCCTCCGCGCAGCCAGCCGCCGAAGGCCAAGGCCGGAAAAAGCTCGTGGAGAGCCCGGAGGTTCGGCGAGCGCAGGGGCGGGCTGGCTGCCGGGCGGCCGCGCGCTGGGGCCATGCCGAGGTCCTTCCTGGTGGACTCGCTGGTGCTGCGCGAGGCGGGCGAGAAGAAGGCGCCCGAGGGCAGCCCGCCGCCGCTCTTCCCCTATGCGGTGCCCCCACCACACGCGCTACACGGTCTCTCTCCCGGCGCCTGCCACGCGCGCAAGGCCGGGCTGCTGTGCGTGTGCCCGCTCTGCGTCACCGCCTCGCAGCTGCACGGGCCCCCAGGGCCGCCAGCTCTGCCTCTGCTCAAGGCGTCCTTCCCGCCCTTCGGCTCTCAGTACTGCCACGCGCCCCTGGGCCGCCAACACTCTGCGGTGTCTCCCGGGGTAGCTCACGGCCCGGCTGCCGCCGCCGCGCTCTATCAGACCTCTTACCCGCTGCCTGACCCCAGACAGTTCCACTGCATCTCCGTGGGTAAGCGGGGCCGCCGCGCATAGGGACAGGGCAGAAGTGATCCGAGGCAGTTTGGCAGGCTGGTAGGGATAGGGGAAGAGGGACCCGGGGCGTTCTGGGGCTGAGATGGTCATGTTTGGACCTGGATGGGTGGGGCACAGAGTGGTGGGCAAATAAAGGGCCTGGACACGGCGGCCAAGAGTGATGGCAAAGGTCCAGGTCCCTGAGGAGGAGTTTAAAGGTAAGTGAGAGCCAGAGTTCAGGATGCTAGATGAAGGGGTTCTAGGGCTGCGTGACTCCGGGAGAACCAGAATCTTGCAGCTTGGCAAGCAGGCACTGGAGGTAGTGCTGCTGAGGGTAGTGTTCAGGGCCAAGGGGTGGGGAGACCAAAGTCCTGGGATTCTAGCGGACGCCTAGCAGGGGGTTTGGCCCACAGCTGAGATCTGACTGCTTCCCTCTCTGCTTCGCCACCCCCTCTAGACAGCAGCGCGAACCAACTGCCCAGCAGCAAGAGGATGCGCACAGCGTTCACCAGCACCCAGCTGCTAGAGCTGGAGCGGGAGTTCGCCTCCAATATGTACTTGTCCCGCCTACGCCGCATCGAGATCGCTACCTACCTGAATCTATCCGAGAAGCAGGTGAAGATCTGGTTTCAGAACCGTCGGGTGAAGCACAAGAAGGAGGGCAAGGGTGGCAACCACCGCAGTAGCGGGGGTGCGGGTGCAGGCGCGGGCGCGCCGCACGGCTGCAAGTGCGCATCGCTCTCCTCAGCCAAATGCTCCGAAGATGACGACGAATTGCCCATGTCTCCGTCCTCCTCGGGAAAGGACGACCGAGATCTCACGGTCACTCCCTAGGTGTGTGTCTCCCTAAGGTCGCCCACCCCAAGACCTCCCTGCGCCTCAAAAACTGGTCCTGGGACGCAGCGCTGGTTCCCAGGCATCCACTGCCAAACGACTCCGAGCACGGATCTGGCTCAGCTTTACGGAGGCCCCGGGCCCTGGGTAGGACTAAGAGGTTGGCAGAGACCTGCCAGTGGTATCCCTGCCCTAGGACTCGCGCGCATCCAAAGCGAACTCCAAATTGCGACCCTGTAAGAATTGTCCTGGACAGTGGGGCCCCACAGGCACGCCGGCCTGGCGCAGCGCCTTGCTGGCCGCTGGCGCCTTCTCGCCCGCCCTCTCCGGGCTGGCTCAGGCTTCCTTGCTTCTTCTAGTCTTGTCTGCCTACAGGTCGAGATCGGCCTTTCACCCTCTCGATGCCCATTCACTTGTCTCTTTTTAAAATGTCTTTCTCTCCCTCCCCTCCTCTTTCCCCAGGTCATTTATCCACTCCTCCTCACACACCTTTGTGAACTTTCTTTTCCCTTTCCCTCAGGAAGTCTTCTCCTTCTGACCGTCCAATTTGTCCCCTGAGCAGGCCTTGCTGTTCTCAGTCCCCAGAGTCCCATAGGAGAACTGCCCGGGGTGTATCTGTTGAAGAAACCGATTCGCTCCGTTTCTGACAAGCTCTGCGTTCCCACAAACATGGGCCCGGTCCTGCGCTTCTGGCCACCCTTCTCTACACTCACTCTGGCACTGCCCCAGCCTAGCTGTGTAATTGTACCGTCTCTGTAATACCAGATGATATTTATTTATTTATTTATGTACAAAATTTTAAATAAACTTTTTTTTTCTTAGTAATGCCTGTGGTTTGGGGCTCAGTAGGCTTCTTCTCTGGATTAGACCGGCTCTGACCTGGATTGCGCCTCCCGGCTGGGTTGGGTTGTAGATGGTATTTCGGGGTCAGAGCCTCAGCCAGTCCCTCCCCGCTCCTGCAGCCTGGCAGAGATCCGGCCTTCCATACCAGCCCAGTGTGCTCCTAAGTTCGGCTCCAGCATAGCCCACAGGCAGCCCTGGAGGACAGAGAGTGTGGGGTGGGGCTGGTCTCCCCAGCTGCGCCTAGGGCCTCAACCCCCCTGCAGCAGGTCCACCCTCAACCTTAGCTGTTTCACACCCGGGTTAATCTCCCAGCCGTGGCTGTTTCTCTGTCTCTGCTCCCCTGCCAGCCCTGAGGGTGGGAACCACTCCCCTTGGAGCTCATGAAATCCATCTTTCACTGCGTTCAGGTTGACAAAGATTCATTAGGAAAAAATTCCAAGTTTTTGGGATGATGCAACCTCCTTTCCTAGAGGGACCCTCGAATAGCATTGAAACAAATTGTTAGGGGCCTCTCTGGTTACAAACCACTCCAGGCAATGATGCTGAGGATACTGAAGCTATGCCCCCCACCCAGGGAGTCCGAGTGTGGGGCTGACTCCGTGCAGGTCAGGGGCCTGACTCTGGGGCCTTCAGGTCTCACCAATTCTCATTACATCCTACATCCCCCTAAGACTTGGAATCCACGTCCCACATCTTCAGGACACATGCGAGGCTTTTTAGCTCTGTAATAGACAGGAGAGAAGGGGGATGCATCGGCTCTGTTAAGGCTGGGAGCGCACAGCCACAGGAGGGGGCATATTTCTAGGATCTGGGGATCAGACACAGGAAACAGCAGATCCACTTTCCCCTAAAAACTCAAATTTTACTTCCTGAATACCTGGGCCAGTGTCATTTCCTATCAGAAATTCACCCTCTACCCAACACACCCTGGGAAGCGCCAAACTCTCCGTATCTGGGCAAAGAAAACAAACACGTCTCTTTTAGCAAGAAAGATGCTCCAGTTGCTCCACATTTGTGGGACTCGTTTCTAGAACTGGTCTTTTCGTTTAAATCAAGTTGAGTGTGAGTTCTCTAGTTCTCCCTGAACAGGGATGGGTGCGATCTGGCTCCCCACGGAAAAGCCCTTTCCGGTTCTTCCTGGAGCCAGGGCTCCTGATTGTGCTAGAGCCCCAAGAGAGTCTCCCTCAGTTGGAACCCCAGTCTCTCCGGGACCAGTTTGTCATCCCAGGTGGCGTCATTGTATTAATCTAAACAAAGCCAAGGTGCTTCAGGGCACACCGTGAATAGAATCTCAGCTAGTGTTTCATCCTCAGTGATGATTCTGATATTTTCTGGGTTTTGCACGCTGCTCGGTGAGCGTACTGGCACTGCGCATCCTCTAAGTCCAGCAAAACCCACCAATCTGCCTTTGGTTGGGGTTTGGGGGGATGGCAACACGACCTATGGGACAGGTTAGTGGTAGGTTGGAAGGGGTTGCTCACGGCCAGCTTCTCCATGGATTACAGAAGGAGGTGGAATTGAGCACCTGGGATGGGTTCTCACCAGCGCTTGGTGACAATCCCCTCAGCCAGAAATGCAGTTCTCTGGACTGCCAGGGAACTGAGTTGGGGGTAGAGGATGGAAACTGGTCTAAGAGGTATGTGAACAGGCTTTATCCTTCAGTTTTTTCATCCTGCCTGGGGTGGGGGGGTCCTTCTATTTCCAGCTGCTAGCAGAATCTGCAGATCTGCAGCTGAGCGCTAGGTCTTTGAGGGTTCAGGAAGGTGCATTTCCTCCTGTCAACTTCCCCACGCTGCTCCCAGAAGACCAGGGTTTTTTCTTTCTGGTGGTTGCCCTAGCAGTGGAAGAAAAACTGCAGCCTCCTTGTGGCGATCCCAGTGTTACCAAGGCAGTGGCGGAAGCACAGTGTTAGAGAGCAAGGTGGTGGCTGCGGCGCACTAGAGCTCTCCGTATCCCGCAGCCGCCGCAAGGAGGGACAGCGACCAGGATTTGAAGCTCAGCTCTCTTCCAGCCTTTGTCCCGAATGCAGAAATAGTCTGGGCATTGGGTAGCGCAGGCCAGGAAGCCTCCGCCAAGAGTCAAAGCCTCTCCGTAGCTGCCCAGGCTGGGGACTAGCGCAGGATGCTATGGCAGCCTCGTGGTCTGGGGAGACACAGTCCTGCCTTTAAGCCACTCTGTTCTGAGCTAGAATTTGGGGCTTGCATGACAAATTGTAAAACTGGAAGCAAACTGGGTTTCCTGGAAATTACCATTGAATGTGACTAATCCAAATACTGATGCCTGAGTTTATTTCAGGAACAGTATCTCTCTTTTCTCTGCGCAGTTTAGAATCCAAGGGGGTTGCAATCCATTTCCATCATTTACTTAGAAGCTGGTAATCTTGAGCAAACGGTTTGTCTTTCCTAAACTTTAGTTTCTTCACTGTAAATGGGGATTATGCTAATAGTTCCTCCTCAGAGTTGTTGTGCAATATTAATGGGGGGGATTCACATAAAACGCTAAGCACAATGTTTGCCTCCTGCAGTAAACATGAACTAATACTGCATTTGCCACTGCTGTAATTGTTCCTTGCAGTGCTTATAGCCAAGCCTGGGGCAACGTTTGGTGCTGAATTGTTTACTGGATGCTGAGGTGACCACTCAAACACAACCTTGGATCCAGAATCCACCACTGAAGGAGAACGTGTTCAAGTGCAAATATTTCCTGGACTCCCTGGAGGTAGCAGATCAGAGAGTAAGGAATGCATCTCTCTGCAGAGCACCACCCACGTGCTAGAACCACAGAGGGACCTTTCCACCTTCATTTGGAAGAGCTCCTCAACTTCGGCACCACTGACATTTTGGGCCGAATACTTCTCTGTTGTGGGGAGCTGTCCTGTGCATTCCATGATGTTGGGAGCATCTGGTCACCCACCAGATGCCAGTAGCACCCTCTCCCAGGTGTGACAGCCAAAATGTCTCTAGACATTACCCAAGTCCCCAGAGTGGGAAATTACTTCAGGTTAAAAACAACTGATTTAGATCAGTGTCATTTCTGCTGAAGTCTGCAGTGGTCAGAATTGGGTGGCCCAGCTGTGAACACACCTCCCCACCTTCAGCACTGGACAGGTACACCTTCTATAACCCACGGAATATCTGAAACTTCTGCAGCCAGGGTACCAGACTATGCACTGCAGTGTGGTGTGAGACAAGGGAGGAGAAAGAGACAGTGGGGAGGGTAGCGAGGGGAGGTGAGACGAAAGCCTTTCCTGCCCCGGGAGCTTGCAGCTAATGTGTATCTGCTCCGTGGTCATGTAGGCTGAAAGGATGAAGCAGAGGCTTGCTGGCTAAGCGGAGTTTACAGGGCAAGGATATTGCAAGAATATTTTATCCATGTGTCTCATGTCCCTGTAGACAATTGGGCTCCCTCTTCAGTCACATCCATAGGCACCCACGAGATCATTCTTTGGATAGAAAAATTTCAGGAACCCAAGGTGGCATCCCTCCAAATCTCTCTCTCTCTCTCTCTCTCTCACACACACACACACACACATTCACCACCTCCACACGGTTCTTTCTGAAGCACACACCTTATTGGTTTTGTTAATATCTGAAAGTCTGAGGCTTGACAGCAGTTCCTTTTGATTAAAGTCTCTTGTGTTTGATTCAAATACAAGTACACATGGAAATAGTAACCTCTGAGCACTAATGGTCATTCACTTTTTCCAAGAGAAGATTCTGGAAAGGCAAAGGTGTAGAAGGGCCTGAATACAAAGTAGGTAGTGGAGGAGGTGCAGGGCCAAGAAAAAGGGGTGTGTGTGTGTATGGGAGGGTGTTCTAGATGTCTCACTGATACTAATCAGTGTTGCCTGAGGCATCTATCCCCACCCCTGAATTTGGGGGGAGGCCAGTGATTGTGTTTACTAGATACCTTCAGAATTCAACTTCACTCACAAAGTAAGGAATAAAACAATTCAAGGAACCCAGCCTTTCCCTAGCCTTGCATGTGTTTAACAACAGGGGAATTTGGCTCGGCGCCTGTGGCTCAAGGGGCTAAGGCGCCAGCCACATACACCTAAGGTGGCGGGTTCGAATCCCCAGCCTGGGCCCGCCAAACAACAATGATGGCTGCAACCAAAAAATAGCTGGGCGTTGTGGCGGGTGCCTGTGGTCCCAGCTA